CTCGTGGTCTTCCTCTCCATGTAACGCAAATGCGGGTTAGCTTCATCAAAAAGTCCTCCACGAAGGCAAATTTCTCCCAATACTCAATCCAGGAGTTTCCTTGTCTCTCTGGATTGGATTCAAAATTACAAGGCTACAGAGTTGAACATTGGTAGCCATAAAGTCATAAAATTGGGTCGGCTATTCACTGACGGTTATAAAATATAAAATACTACTAAATGAAGCTGTTGTGCACATAACCTTATACTGTTAAACTTTATAAATCACTAAAATTTCGTTAAAAAACTGTGCTTGCAATAAATATTACTTTTTGTACGAGTTAGGGATATTTTGTAAATTAGGATTTATTACAATCATTTGTTAGATTCCCTCTATTATAGAAATTTTAGGAATTTTTCTTTTATTGTAAAAAAAATCTCATAGATTGGATTGGATGAAAAAAAAACTAAAAATTAATGTAGTCTTAAGATGTAATCAAACACGCTAGAATTTTTATTTGAAAGTTGAATTTTAAAAGCAATTAATAATTCCAGAAGTCTCATTCATGCATTCCTTCAAGTTGTTAATACTCTTTTAATAAACCAGTGGGCTGCTCCCCCTTCTCGCTAACGCTCGCCAAGTTCGGGGAGTTGTAATGAGGCTTTTTTTTTGTCCCAGTGTAAGAGAAATATATATATATATATATATAGATAAATTTAATTCTTTTGTATTTTCATTTTAAGGTTAAGTTTCTTGTAATTTATAAAGAAATATCACACTTCTTTCAAAAATATAGGAATTGAGAAGCTAAACATTTAGTCAAGTAGTTGACCTCAGAAGCAAAATTTTTATTAAGCATATATTTTCTTATTTTGTGTTAATTTAGGACGAAAGAAGTAACAAAATATTATATTTAGCATTTTATTAATTTATGGGTTTATGATACGACATGAAACACCGGTATCTTTTTCTACTTTAAAGGTAGAATCTTCCAAGCACTCTTTACTTCCAAACAATAATTTTTCAAATTTGTAATTATTTAAATCTGAGATAAACAGTTATTCATCGTTGAGCTTTTTTAATTTTCAAAATTAATTGTAAATGCACTTTTGAATCTGAATGAAAAAGAAATTCAAAAAACACTTTATTTGGATTTTATATTTTAGAACAAATATCATTTAAAAAAATCTAACCGATTTATTAGGAACTATTAGAATGTTTTTATAATTAAAAAAATGGCAAATTATCTTTCTTCTTGTAAATAGAGCAGGAGAAAAAAATATATAAAGGGGCACAAAGGTGATCTATCTGCTTTACAGGGTTAATAAAAAGTAACCAATATTATTGAAAAATATCATTTTTGGTATATTATTTTCTCCCATAAATAAATTACTGCTGTTTTAAAAATTTTAAATTATTTATCTATACTGTCAGTATACATTGTACTTATATAAAGCATTATCCATTCTTTACTTAAATGTCCTTTCAATGGCATAACCAATGTTTGCTAGGAGAGCCAACTTATGGAAAAATTATATGTGATTATCAAATATATCTATTTGAAAGCGATCGTTTTATGCAATACAGACTGATACTTGGAGTGAAAATATTAAATAATGCCTGGTGTGTTTTCTAATATCCAGAAATGGCAGCATCAGAAAAATCCTAATAAAAATAAATCAGAATATGAATATCCTTTTATTGAAAAATCCGTCTGAAACTCAAAAAAGTACAGATTTAGAATCGTTATCGAGTCAAAACTAAACATTAAATTAGTTACATGTGACGCAAAGATGTCAATTGTTCTGAGTCAGCAAAATGTTATATGAAGTGATATAGAATTCAAACATAAAATTTGCCTATGTTTGGTTAATTTCACCATCTTTTTTGAAGACTAACCATGAGTTGGTTAAATCACTGTGTCGTTTTACATGAATTTTGAATTATCAGGCAAATTAAAGGCAAAATAATTTTATATTTGTTAACCCAGATTCAAACTTTAAAACATTATTTTCATTAACATTAAAAAAATCAAAACACAAGTTAAATATATATATATACGTACATCACCTTTTACTCCCAAATGAGATTGTCTGGTAGACTTAAATACAAGAGATCAATTATATTGAATTCTAGCGATAAAGGATGATTAAATATTTTTAAAAGCTACTAATAAAGTGAAATCAACCATTTAAAAAACACTTATTCGGAGGCGTTACTAATTTTTGTAACGTGATTTTACTAAGCAGTTTTTGATAACTGGTGCAAGACCAAGTTAACATCCGATTCACAAATTATTTGTGAGAGCCAAATAAAATTTCAAAATAAATTTATATATATATTTTACGACTACTAAAGTGAGGACTGATTTCACATTAGTAAAGTTAAGACGAGAGTTACAAATTTGTGAGAACGAAACGAAATTTCAAAATAAATTTGTATATATTTTACGACTACCAAAGTGAGAACTGATTTTACATTAGTCAGTAATTTTTCCACTTAAAGAAGTATCAACATTTTGCATTGTCTTAAGGACACT